TTGATATCGCAGAGTATCACAAAATAAAACTTTTACATAATCATTACTTATAATTAAATGTAACACACATAAATATTTATGATGCTAACTTCCATACTGATAAATTATATTTTAACACCATAAATACACTGGTTATCATAAATTAAGGGAAAATCACAAAAATAGTGATAACTCCCTCAAAAATAAGCCAAACCGTGTAAAATTTGAATATGTTTCCAAGATAGAGTAGCTGAGTAAAACTCCAGTATGCAAATTAGTGGTGCTGCACTCGGAATACGTCATCTGCGAGGAATATAAAAGTCCATGTTTGTGAGCAAGCCCACATATTTCACTGTGATAGTGATCAGAAATCTGAGATAGCCAATTTGTAACAATCATCTCCAGGCATCATTTGCCTGCAGAACTACGACAGAAAGCCATTGGGAGACTAGAGGCAGGACAAAATCAAACAGAAGTGGCCAGATGGCTAAATGTGAGTCCTTCTGTGGTTCATAGACTTTGGAGGCAATGTCAAATCACAGATTCAGCACCTAGAAGGTTCAGCCAAGGACGGGCAACTGCTACGACGAGTGCCGATGACCAATATTTGACATTATGTGTACTCAGGAATAGAACCGCTACTCCGACTCTTTTTAGATCCTCCCTTGTGCAGCCACCGGAATGTTGGTGTCAACCGTCAACTGTGCGTAGAAGGCTTCACGAAGGTGGTCTGTATGCGAGGCGAACAACCATTTGTGTGCTGCTCAAGTAACACCATAGGAGGGACTGTTTGCAGTGGGCACGACAACATGTCCACTGCACGCCTGAGCAAAGAAGGGCTATTCTCTTTACGGATGAGTCCAGGTTTAGTCTAGAACGAGATAGTACGCATTATTTGATATGGAGAGAACCTGGAACCCGTTTCATCCGTCAAACATCCGTGAAAGAGATGCATACGGAAGAGGCAGTGTCTGTGTTTGGGGTGGCATCTCTTTAGGTGGACGCGCAGACCTACATGTTCTTCCAAGGGAAACCGTGAATGTTCATGTTTATAGAGATAACATCCTTGATGCTTATGTGCGTCCATATGCTGGGGTAATAGGTCATGCTTTATTGTTACAGGACGACAATGCAAGACCACACAAGACTTGCATCATATATGATTATCTGCAACAGGTTACAATTATGCGCATGGAGTGGCCAGCTCGATCCCCGGACTTGAATCCTATCGAGAACATTTGGAATGCTTTAGGGAGACGTTTAGCTGCTCTCAATCCGCCCCCTTGCAACTGCTTTGCAAGAGCAATGGCTCTCGCTTCCTATGGAACTGATAGACCGCATAATTGAAAGCATCACACATCGCGGAATGTGCTGTATTGCTTCTAGAGGCGATTATATTCCATATTGAAGGTACTTTTACTATAGCAAACTGACATCTTCGATTTGTTCATTTTATACATGTGCTAATTTCTATACTCCATAATTGTCTGGTAATTTCTTTTTATGTTATTTGATACCTTACTTTGTGTTTTATATTGTAGGTAAGTTTCATAAAATTTTACATGTAACTTTTTCAGTAATTGTGATTTTTCCTTAATTTATGATAACCAGTGTATAATAGGAGTAACAGTTTCAGAAATTATGGTTTCAACGTTTTTATTGTTCATTTGCAATTGCTGATTTTACCAAACTGGAAGGCCTCGCAATACTTCTGAACAAACGTATCCATTAGTAGGGTTGTCCTCTTGAGCTAACCAGTATGTTCTCTGCACTGGTGGCCCAGAGTGCCTAGGCAGTTACTTGAAAAGGCCTCCATTCCTTGCATAAGGTAACTGGCCTTTGAAAACTGTACTAATACACTCCACAATAAAAAATAATAATACAGTCAAAAGTCGTTAATCCGGACTCGTCGGGACTTCGGCGATTTCGGATTATCGATTTTTCCGGATTATAGATCATCAGTTTAAATCTGGTAAAATGGTATGCAGAAATTATAAAATTAAAAATGTGAAACCGTAATTTACGAAATAAAGAAAAATTATGATCTAAAGGGTATCAAAATTTACAAAAAAAAAAAAAAAAAAAAAAAAACTTAATATTTATTTGTTTACTTTATTAAACATTTCTTTCGATGTAAGTTGTTTAAGTTGCTTCATTTTTTATGTGATAATACATTCTCTTTAATTCTATAAACAGACATAATTTCTTGTTCAGTTACAAAGTTCCGCTGTTCAAGTCCTATAATTGCTGTGTCGAGAATACCGACTAATTTGTCAATCGAAATTTTTTTCGGTTCAATAACCTCTGTTACTTTCTTCGCTATCGGAAGCGAATTATAATAACGAAGCATTTGATTTAAATCATATCAAAGATGGAGTACTACATTTAGTAAGCAATTATAAGCCAAATAAAATAAAAACATCTGCTCTTAAGATAAGGATAGTGCTGACAGATCAACTTCCCATTCATTGTGCGGTGCTGCACCGTTAAAGATAAACAACGTTTAGATAAACAAAGGTTTTAACCTTTATCCGTTTTTGCAGCAATTCCACTTTTTGTTGAATGGACTCCGAAAGATACTTTCGCTTTGTATATCCTTTACATATTAGTAAATATATATCGGAAATTCTATTTGACATAATCGAAAGTTCAAGCTTACTTTTATAAAATTGCTCTAACAGTCTTCAAAAAATAATACGCCGGATCCAATTCGAAGATTAAGAAACAACGCAATCTGCAACATTAACTGAAATAGATAATTAGATAATTTTAGCGTAGCTTACCCCGTCCGTTATACATTAAACGCGCATTTGTAAACGTATTTTGCGCAGGTGCACACGCAAATTCGCAGCCGTAAAGGTCTTACGCGCATGTGTCAATGTGATGCAGAAAGTTGTAGCTTTGAGGTCCGGATTATGGGTGTCCGAATTAACGACTTTTGACTGTATAAAAAACTACAAACACTCATAAAATGAGAGCCTCCAACATTATCTTGCATGAAGAGGGTAAAAGGAACAACTCTACAGAGGTAATTAGAGGCCTCTGTTTAAGGAACCAGTACACCCTCATATAAAATGATGAGGTCATAAATTTTAACATGCATTTACCATAATTTCATATTACTTATCTGTACTAATTTCACTTATTTTTTACATCTACTTCATTTTTAGAATAATAAAATTCGTATTCAAAATTTCAAAAATATAAAAATTTATCTTAATAACCTTTCCTAAAAATAATTAAAAATCCAAGAATTACTTATTAACTTTTCTAAATTATTAGAATTCAAATTTCTAATATCATTACAGTTTTTCATATCACAGGGTTACATTTTTAATGTCCAATTTATTAAAAAAGATCAGTTCCCAATGGAGATTTAATTAAGCAAAAGCAGAAGTGAAAATAAACGTCCGGTACCCCACTTCAATTTTAAAAATCCCATAACTGCGAAAGAACATCCTAAATTATTTGCATAAGAGCCATTTTAAGATATGCAGTTCGATAATCTTGAAAGCACCGGAATGATTTGAAACGTCAGCACTCGAAAAACATTGTGGTCATTTTACTATAAAGAAACGCTGAATTAATTTTGAAAGGGTGTCACTAGATTTCATTTTTAAGCACTCTCAGCAATTCTGTGATTCGAATTTTTTTTTTTTTTTTTTCACATTTTCATATGGCTATGCAATTACAATGTTACACTTATTAAATAACTGCATATGCTAGATTGAATTTCGAAGCATGAATTTTGACTTTTAAATACACTTGTTTTATAACAATTCGGTGTAGTTGAGAGGCTGCACCGAATTGTATCACATAGATTGGCGGGAGACATATTGAATCACATAGATTGGCGGGAGCCGTAAATATATTGAAGATTAGAACATGAAAGCATTAACTAATTCGCTTTCACAATCGTAGCCACAATTTCAATGATAACACTTCTGTGAAAACAGGCACACTTTGATGATTTAAATCACTTTTTTTTTTCTTCTAAACATTTGAGATATGGCATTGCACTTTGTTTTCACTGACATTATCACTTTTGGACTTGCAGATACTGGATATCCATTATGAATTACACATGGAAGTTTGAAGAGATGGCTGGCTATTGCAGACACTGCAATGACATTTCCACTGGAATTCCAATGCACAGGACATGTGTGCTGTCAACTCAGTTATAATAAAAACAAAGTTAGAAGTAACTGAAGAGGAATTTTGATTACGCAGGAGTGTTGATCCATAATGACTAGGAATTTGGATGGCGAAGGCAGATTAAATCTTCAGTTTTATTTTCGGCAATATGTTGCAGATACATACAAGTCGGCACATTAAATGTGCCTGTTCCAAAAGGCTTACATTTTCGATAACTTTGTAGCAAAAAAGAAGAGGCAGACACATAACAGTGTAGCTAGGCCAAAGCACAGAAAGCAAGTGCGTAATGTTCAGGATGAAATCTCAAGTCAGAGAGTTAGTTTTGTTTCTCAAAGCATTCTGATTGGATGGTTAATATTGTTGTAAAATTATTATTGGCTATTAAGAGTTTTAGTTCCATTTACGTCATCAGAATTATGTAAGAGTCACACGGCATGGATTTTTCTCGAAATGACACAGTGCAGAGAGGGGTTACTATTTTTAGAAAGAGAAGGGAAATTAATTTAGGCTGCTAATTTAATCTTTTACATATTCTTTTTCTTACATGTATATCTTAAGTCTTGCTATTGAGACATATTAAATTGAGATAGATTAAATTTTTTTAGTCAGCTCAGTAAAACAGGTGATATAGAACTGTCCCTCTTTTTTTGTACAGAGTGTATATCAGACAATGTCGCTGTTATTTTTAGCGAGTGGAAACTTAAGGATACCATTTTCGTTTTCATTTCATACTGTGCTTAGAGATTTAATTGCTATTCATTATCCCAATCATTTGTGTGGTTTAGTTCTAGCTTTTGTATGAAGTTTTTTTGTGTAATGAAACGTCTTTTTTGCCCTTTTTTATGTTTATATTTATTTTATTTTAGATGAAGCTCGTTCTGAAGCAACATTTAGATTTGTTGTTCCCAATTTCAGCAAGTTGCGGGAAACAGCTCTTAGCTCACCGACTTATGTTAGAAATTTGCCATGGTCAGTATATATTAATTTAAAAGATAATATGGTTTAAGACCTTTAACAAGTTATTTGTTAAAGCCAACAGTTTAATTTATGGGAAGTTTGGTAGATATTCTCAATGCTTGTAAATGATTATTTCAGGAAAATCATGGTTATGCCTCGTACGAGTCATGGACAAGATAGAAATACACCTACTAGAAGTTTAGGTTTCTTTTTACAATGTAATGGAGAATCGGAATCATCGTAAGTCGAATATACTTAACAGTCAAATTCCATTTTAAAACTTGTAAAATTTTATCTACTTAATAATGTAGAATAAAATTTTACCATTTGTCTCTTTGTTTTCTCAGTCTGGATAATGATATAATATACTGTGATAAAGTAATTTATAATAGTATTAAATGAATTAATATAGAATATTGAGTTACACTGTTAAAGTATTTATATAAATTCTCTTACAGTATTTTACTTTCTTCCCCTAGAACTTGGTCTTGTAATGCCATAGCGGACTTAAAGATTATTTCCCAAAAAGAAGGAGTAGAAAATTTTTCTAGAAGTATGTTTTTCTTATTTTTATTTATACATATTTTTCTATGTTTTCTCTGAGTACATGTTATTTAATGTAAAATTTTAATTGATTTAGTCATCATCACCGAGAAAACTAATGAAGTGTTATTATTTATATAATTTTTTATTCGAGTCACGAAAATATTTAGTAAATGATGAAAATATAACTGGATTCAAGAACACTAATAAGATGAAAGTATGGTACAAACTGATAACTGTTATGATTCATAATTATATTTTTTATATTTGTCTCCAATGAAGACAGAAATTTCCTGGAAGTTTAGTGGTTGTTCAGAACGAAATCTCTTAGTGTTTAAGTTATTTTTCCTCATTTTCCTTATGTTATATTTAAAATTTTTATTCAGTTTGGTAAACATAATTAAAAAAAAAGATTCATTTATTAGGCATGAGCAAGTGCCATGATATTTGCTGATATTGGTAAGAGATCAGAAGTCATTAATTTAGTAATCATATTAAAAAAATAAAGAATGCAGAAAACAATTTCAAATGAAAAATTGCAACCTACTAGACAAAAATAATTACACACATGAACTCTTTTGCATCATTAGGAAAGTGTTATTTGTATATATATCTATATATGTATGTATGGGAAGAGTTTTGTAGATGCACCATCTCGTAGGAAAATAAGTTTAAATAAATAGACAAAATAGTAAAATCAGAAGTGCAGAAAAAAGAAGTAATTATTCTTATTGATAGGAGATTGACTTTTCAAGGGGAACAAACCAATCTTTGATAACCAAAATAAGCGAGAGTGTTTTATCGTTTTCCCCAAGTAATAATCGAATTTAAGTCATGAACTATTTATGTATTTTATTACTGAGTAGCTTTAGCACAGGTTATCAAGACCGGATTAAAAAATGTATGTATGTGTAGATGTACGTGTTTATGTATGTATGTGTAGATGTACGTGTTTATGTATGCATGTGTATATGTAAGTATAAATGTGTGTATATACATAATACACATGTGCTGCAAACATTCATACATTACTGAATCTGGCGCGGATAATGGAACCATACCGTATTTAGCTTTTTAAAATTACTTATAATTACCTTGTATATGTATATACATACACAGGGTGTTTTTAAATTCATAATAGAAATTTGGAGGTGTGGTACAGAACAAAGACACAATTAGTATTCACATATTAAACTCAGTTTGCAATCGATTTATTTAGTCATAAATGCAACTTAAAATGCATTTACAATAAGAAAACTTTAAAATAAGATTGAAGTCACATAACATCTCGTATGAATTGCTTCACACGAAGCACAGCACCCACAGAACCTTCTATATCTCATTTAAAAAGGCAATGCTTCAAATTACGTCATGAAACACATTCGTGTATTGGTAATTTGCATGTGAAAATATGTTTGCCAGTAGGTGTGCATCTCGATAGGGTAATCACCATTATGCTTTCATTATTGATAGAGTTTATGTATGCCGAAAAAGCAGATGTGTATTACATTGTATGTCCGTGCAAACAGTAATGTCGAAGCTGCACTACAAATGTATTCCTTGCAGTGTCCAAATAGACAAATGCTGGATCATAATGTTTTAGTGATTACATTGTAAGGTTTGTGAAATAGGTTTTTTCCACCGCACCATACTGGTCAATGAACTGTACACAATCCAAGATCCATTTACACCGATACTGGTCGATGAACTGTACACAATCCAAGATCTAAAGAAAGTATCTTGAACATTGTTGTTGATAGACCCAAATAAAGTATGAGAGCTGTAGTGCAAAGTGTAGATATATGCCAATATACCATTTGGAGAGTGTTAAATGAAAAGTGCATACACCCCTTTCATTTTCAACGAGTACAAACTTTGAATCCACGAGACTCCACTGCACCTGAACTTCTGTCGGCAGCTTTTGCAGCAATCTTCATTGCAGCTGGACTTCACAGCTCGTGCTATTTACAGATAATATGATGAGGTATTCATAGGTGTATACCCTTGAGAGTGAATTTAATGCATTCAGTTCTCATGTGTAGGCCATTGAGAATCCACAAGTAGTGAAACCATATACGTTTCAACAACGAATCAGTGTGAATGTATAGGTGGATATTGTCCACAACTTTTTAACTGACCCATTCCTGCAGCCGCAGTGACTCTTTGGCTAGCATTATCTTATTTTTCTGGAACAGGTGTTATTAGAACTGCTGCAAGGTGTTCCGATCTCCATTTGTAACTAGAGCTGGAGCAAACCGCATGTATTCGTTACTGAGTAACGGGTACATCGGTTGACTCGAAGTACCGATTCGGTACTTACAAATTCATTTCGTTACTCGCATCTGTCGTACGATGCGGTTTGTTCGAGTACGAATGATGCAGTTGCTATACGAATACGAATGATGCGGTTTCTATTCGAATACGAATGATGTGGTTGCTGTTCGAATACGAATGATACGGTTGCGTCACAATGCGCTCATATTTTTCATAGATAATTTTGAATTTTTTTGGGCATCGGGCAAACTCTTGTTTACATTATGTGTTTTAGTTGAAATACTATTTAGTTGTTGATATTTAAGAAAATGAGCAATTTTGATAGCGTGAAGCGTTATTTTGTATTTGCTTTTTACTATTGCTATTTATGTTTGTAATTTGAAAATTTAGATGATTCATCTTTTTTTTTTTTTTTTTTTTTCTTGAGCGTGCCATAGTCAGATTTTATTGATTTGAAATATTTATATACTGCACTTAGGTATTGTTTATATAAGAATATGTAGGTTAATATAGGTTCTTTACTTCCTTGTATCAAATAAAATGGTAGTAAGTATTGTAATCGAGAAAACTTTTGGGTATCATATTTTAACGGAAATATCCGTTTTTGACGATTTCGGAATCCATGTGAATTATTTTTTGTGCTGACGCCTGTACGTATGAACACAATGAAGGACTCTTTCTCTCTCTCTTTTTTTTTTTTTCAAAAAAACTTATTGTTAAATGTAATCCCATTTACTCTAAGCTGATACTTATTACTAATGATTATGACTCTAAGTTGATACTTGAAAGGGATTTTTTTCGTGATGTGTAAGTACGTATGTATGCATTTTGCATAACTCAAAAACGGTTAGTTATAGAACGTTGAAATTTTGTATATGGGTCCGTTATAACATCTAGATGTGCACCTCCCTTTTTATTGCAATCGGTAATACTACCAAACGTAAATATGTATATATATATCAAATAAATTATAATTAAATGTAAAGTACATATATATATGTCCTTATAATTAAATGTAAAGTACACACACATATATATAAATATAAAATAAAAGCCAAGTAAGGCGAAAGTAAAAGCCTTGGCTTTTATTTTATTTAATTATCACTAAATAAGTTATTTGACTTTTATTTTCGCAATAATTGGTTGTAGTCAGGACTTAATTTTTAAAATTAGAAGTGCTGGAGCTCTATGGAAGGCCATCAGGAAAGATGAATAAATAATAAAATAAATAAAATAAATAAAATAACTATTACAATAATAAAATAATTAGCAACTAGAATATTAAATGATTATTATTATAATTCAATAAAAATTTAAAGACAAATGAAAATTTAATTAATTCTTAAATTAATGATGAATAACTAAGTAATGAAATAAAATACCAGACATCGTCTTGTTTGGGGGCTGTGGCTAAAATTACAATTTAAGAACTAAGCCGAGCATTAGATAAATTTACACTTTTGATGAGCAAATAATGTACTGTTTACCAGAGTATAGATAGAAATTTGGTTATGTAGCCCATTCTTCTAAAACGACGTTTCGTAGCTGCCTTCCACCAACTATTCCCCCCTCCCCCTTTTTTTTTTCCAGTTTCGGATTATTCGGTAACAGCAAAGCACACTAGGCTATTGCCTACGGGGAGGGAGGCCTTCGTGTAGGATTTTTTAAAGGGAACTGACTCATATGCAAGTTACACACGGGAATAACAATGAAAACGCCCGTGCAGCTAGCCGTTAGCCGGGAATTGAACCCCGAACCGAACTATTAGTGCTCAGCGACTTTATCGCTCGAGCTCTGGTGGGCTCTTTTTTTCTTTTCATTTGCTGTTTGAAAAACGGGTGTTCACTTTACGATAAAGTAAGCACCTGTTTACTTCAATTAAAATGGGTTAGACGATATGACTCTTCCTACTTTAATCTCACTTAGCTTTTGATTTCTAATGTTGATTCAATGTTTTTTGTAGACAAAGTATTCTGATTAGAATAATAGATTTCAAACATGTTCAAAAGTTGTGTATCTGAATATAATTAGGTTTTTATAACATAGGGCACATTTTATTAGTTTCACATAGTTCTAAAGCAATTGAACCACAGCATTGCTGTTTTGAAAGAAAGTAAAAAAGTGAGAAATGTATAATGAACATTGATATACAGGCTTTATTAAAAGTAGTCAGCCTTTTAGAACGTGACCGTCTATGCTTTTAGAGGATTTTTGGAGCTCTGTGCATTTGCTCTGGCATCTTAAAAAATGATGTTCAATATCAACGTATGTTTATGTTCTCAAAAATACAGGTTTCTTTCAGAAAGCGACCTCTTAGAAGTCGTCAATAAATGATTCAGTATAGTTATTTTCTAATAGACCATAGAATAAATTTATTTTAACATCAATTTAAAAATATCTGCTTGTACTAAGAGTTAAGAGCAATAAGACTAATTTTTCTTTCGCAATTAGCTATCATGCCAGCTGAATTGTTTTCTGCATAACCTTTATTGTGTATGATTGAAATATTTAGCTATGCATTCAACAAATATACAACAAATGTAAGACAAATCATTAAAAAAATTAAAATTTGGAACATTAATGATAATTTTTTGTTATACATAAAATATTATTAATGAGTGATGAATTTATATCATATTATATATAAATCAAAATTTAAACTCCTATTCCTTTATAATAAATTGAAGAAAAGCTATAAAGTGAATTAATTTTTAAAAACAAAACGAAAATTAAAAA